CGACCTCTACTCCTCCGAATCCTCCTCTTTGCTGCTCGTGCTTCTCGACCTTGGGTTGCCTTTCTTGATTCGAATTCTTCTGGCACGCTTCATGAGGACCCTCCGAATGTCTGCGCCCAGATCTAGGCCTGTGTTGGCATAGATGGTTGAAAGGGGGCCCTCCAAGGCTACCTTGTCCTTCTTTATGTTCTTGGCTCTTTCTTCCCCTCGCTTCTTCTCCGGCGCGTCCATCACTTCCGGGCTGTATTCTCCGTCGCCTCCGGGAGTAATCAAATCGGCCTCTTCACGGAGCTTCTTCAAGGGATCTGCTGCATCGTCGCGACCGAGATCTCTTAGCGCCGCCGCCAGATTTGTCCACCAATCCGAAAGCGTTACAGGAGCAGTGGTTGCGTATGCGCGCGACCAGCGGAGGGCTACGAAGCAACAGGACGTCAACAACACAAGCACGGCCTACATGTCACATGTCCCTGGTGAATTCGGCCAAGAAGGACAATGAGCCTTGGCGGATCCTGTCCCGGAGACTGTATTTTACAGAGGAACAACAGAAACGGCTGCAGTCCATGTTAAAGAGGCCTCCAGCTCCTATGGATGAAGAGGCCAAACGACGCGGGACATAAAACCCGACGCCCCAGTCTTGTGGGTAACAATTCAAGAGTATTGAGCTGTGCCGAGGCCCCTTTAAAGGCCACTTCCTCTATGGGTATGTCATGTCTTCGACGTGATGTCGGATTGTGTCGACTCCGACCTCATCATCCTCCTAAACTTCTGAGAGGAGTGATTTTGCACCCAGGTTCCAGGCAAGAAGAGGGAGAGAGATGGCTGCAGATGCGGCCAGACTTCGAGAGAGTGTGTTGAGGTGCCCAGTTCAGAGCAGTGTGCCATCCACTCCACCCCGTGACGTGTTGGCAGACGTTCCTTCAGTTGCAAGTGTTGGACAACAAGAATTCAATCTGCGCCTCCCGTGCTGAAATAGAAGAGGCCGAAAAAGGCCTAGTCGCAAAGCGTGAGATGCTTGTTGGTGAGCGCGCGCCGCCCGCAAGGCAGGAGACAGGCTGCCACGGAAGCTGCAGCAGCAATGGTGAAGGCTAAGGCTGACCTTGACCTTTGCCGCAAGCGTCAGACTTCCATGTCTCACCTTCGAACTTCCTGGAACTCATGCCATGGCCAGGACCTGCTGGGAAAAATTGTTGAAGCAGCGCGCGCAGCTCGGAGGAAGTGTGAAGAGGTTTTCCCGCGTGACTTCGCGTGTGGAGTGGGCGAGGGAGCTGGCCCAGAGATCACCCGTCGATATGGAGAACTTAGGGAAGCTTTGCAATCGTTCCAAGATTTGGGGGGCCTGGACTTCAAGGACTTGTTCAGTAACCCTCCATTGTTGACCATCTGGAAGACCATTTTGTTGGTGCTCCCAAACTCGTTCTCGTCCTCCGCGTGTGATGGTGGGGGGATGATTGGACGATCCCTGTGAGGGGCTCATCCGCAAGAACATCTGCGACGTGCGCCCGTCGACTCCACATTGGCCAGGAGCATTTGCTGAGCGGACTGTTTGCGGTTGGAAAGGGGGAACGTGTGGGAGAAGTCGAGACAGAGCGTTTGATAATGAACTTCATTCTTGTGGGAGATGTTTGCGCCCTCCCGAGCATGGCTAGTTTTGGGTCTTTTCTGCTGGAAGACGCTGAAATGGCCCTTTTTAGCTCGGAAGATATAAGGTGCTTGTTCTACTTGTTTCGAGCGCCGTCTTCTTGGAATAATTGCTTGGGTTCAACAAGGTCGTGCCCGAGCGGTGTTCCCCACAGATGGTCTGGACGCCCACGTGACTATAGCGTATTGCCTATGGTTTTTAAGCAGCGTGAGTATAGCGCAGCGCGTACACAGCAACGTCGAGCATGGGTGCAACAGGGGCAAGCTCCAAGCGGTTCGATCCGGCGACTGCGTCGCAAGTTGCGGGCGGCGTTGCTGACTCTGTTAAGCCCTTCGTGAGAGGTATCAGGCGCTTGGCATTCCTCGTCATCCCAAGAAGGCAGTTGAGCGTGCCTTCAAGGCGGAGATCAGGGTGCAATCATTGATGGTGATGGTGATGAACGCCTCAATTGCGAGACGAGCGCAGCTGCTTATTCAAGAGGTTCCGCGAATCCGTCAACTCTTTCAGCGCTGCTTCCCTTGGGCACAGGTGAGGTGCCTCCGTGGATGAACCATGGGTAGCTGTAGGACTGTTACTCCATGGAGTAGATAGCGCCGGCATTGCTCCTTGGTTGTAAGGGTGCACTGGTCTGATTGGGAGTTGGTCTCAGCGAAGGGGGCGGTTCGGAGTTCCCGTTGGAAGGCTGTCTTGCGAGGTGAGGCGAGTCAGGAAGGATTCTTGGAAGCCTGGCGCTAACATCAGTGAGCGAGAAGCCATCCAAGTTGTCTATACTAGACCATGTGCGGCAAGGAACTTGCATCTTGGTTCTGGGTCCATTGTGGTTGTGTCGCCGCATCGCTTTGACTAGTCCAGGGCGGTTCACTAATGTAGTCCCTTGATTAATCAACCCCCCCCCGCCCCCCCCTCAACAACCAGGGCCTCCAATATAATCTACAAGAAAACTAATCAAAGGACAAAAACAATTAGAATCCTTTTTTTAAATCTTCTTGGCCTTCTCTGGCAATATTAAAAAGAAAAGGGAATCAATTAAATCTCAAATTGAAGACATCGGGAATATTAAAATAAAAGGAAACCAAAAAAGTTGAAATGGAATTCTAAATATTTTAATGGACATCTGAATCCAAAGACTTTCAAAAGCATCCAATACTTTTGAATCCGGATTTTGTAAAGAAAGTGTGCACTGACTTTTGGAAACTTTTGGAAAGCTTAAAGACTAAAGAGCTTAGGTAAGTAAAGCACATCAGAATGAAAAGAATGGGAATGAATACAAGTTTACCTAAAGCAAAATATTTTTTGAAGCTTGAAATCTCTAGACATAATTCTAGGGGGCCCCCTAAATAATGTCAGAAAGCTGCTTGCTGGACTACACCCTTTGCTTGAATGATTTTTGTTTTTTCAATACTTTTGAATACGGGATTTTGTAAAGAAAGTGTGCACGGACTTTTGGAAAGTTTTGGAAAGCTTAAAGACTAAAGAGCTTAGGTAAGTAAAGCCTCCAAAAGCATCAAGTCTCAATGGAAATCTTCAAATGTTTAATAGAAATCTCCATCCAAAAGCCTGTAAGATAAGCAAATCCCAGCAAACTCAAAAGGGAAAAAGTAAACTATAACAATTAAACATATTCCACTACAACTATCCCTGCCAAAAAAAAGACATTATTCTGGGGGCCTTTATTAATCAGTGCAGGGAAAAAGAGACATTATTCTATCTAGGGGCGTTTATTAATCAGAGGACCACATTACGCTGCAGAGTTCAATGCTTCGTCCACCTCTCCAAGCAAGGTGCATTGGTGAAGAATTACTTTGGAGGAACCCCTACCAAGTTTCGATGAAAGGCAGGGACCTTATGGTACAAAGTAGCAAAACTTTGGAAATGGAAGGAGGTGAGTGGACGGCGTTGGAACCGCGCAGGTGAGCGTTGACCTCCTGGAGTTGCGCGCTATCCCGGCTACCTTGTGCTGGTTGGTGTTGCGTAGAGGCATTCGCCGGTCCGCTTTCAGCATCTTACCTTCATGCCCTGGCCCGTGGGAGGAGTTCAAGTCGGAAGCTTCGCGCTACAATGTCGAAAATCAACGCTCTCATTCTTGCTGCTGACCTTCGCCCCATTTGGGGCTACATCCATACAAGCCAAAATCTGGCTGACCGGCCTAGCCGGCGGCCTTTCCGGCGCAAATGGGAAAGTGAAGCAGCGCGTTGAAGGTCGGAGCAAAGAAGAGAGAGAGCTTTCAACCGGCAGGCACTTGGGTCACTACGTGAGCTTGCAGTTGGAAGCGCTACGCAGACCTTGTTGCGCATAGCGCCGACGTTCTGACTACGTCGAACATCTCTGGAGTACGTACGAGCGGCGTGCGCAAGCGAGTGGTACAGTCTCCGGTGTACCTCAAGGGCACGGCGTTTGTTCAAATCGTGGCGTGTAGCCGAAATAATTCTCCCACGCGCTCCGCCCGTCCCGGAAGACTGCGTCACCGCTATGCTGGGATGGTGCTTGTTTCACTTTGAATTCTCCTCGGCCTTAGTCTGCTGTTGGGGTTCTATGGGCTGCTGCGTGTGGGGGTTGTTGGGGGTGTGTAACCACCACATCCTTATGACAGCTCCTGATAAACCGGCGGTAGTCTCCTTAGGATCCACAAAAGGCAGCAAGCCTGCCGGAGCCGCGGAGAGCACTGGCCACTGACCCCCAAGCCTACCACATGTGTGGCGTCGCAAGTTCGCGGGCTGCCTTAAGGCATTGAATTTGGAATCTTTTGAAATTCGGCCATACAGATTACGGCGTGGTGGCGCCACGTGCTGGTTTGGTCGCCACAGTATAGAATCATCGTCCTTGGCCCTTGGGCTGGTCCAAGAACATCCCGCATTTATACTGCTGACACTGTGCCTCTAAAACATGAAACTCGTAGTGCAAACGCGTTTGTATTTCTCTCATTTTGTTTTAATTTATGACGCGTTGTTGCATGCGCGGGAAAACGATGAGGGCGTATTTTTTGACCATGTTTCTGACTGATATATTTCCGAATCCGGCACAACTGAAAACCTGAAGCCCTGGTATCTTTGCAACCAACCAGTTTGTTGGAAAGAGAACCTTGATGTGGAACCTTTTCTCGCAACTGGCTGACGTGTGGAAACAGGCACGCAAGCAGACCCTTCTGCTTGATAGAGCCAAGTGCCAATTGCCCATTGTAGCAAAAACATCATGAAAACGCGAGCACTAGCCGGTGTGGTTGGAATTGACGTGGGAACTGACTACTGGGCTGCTCGAAAGTGTAGTTTCATAGACAGGCCCTTCTAAAAGGCACTTTCGCCATGTATAGATTTCTTTGTGGGCCCAAGAGCGACTTCAAAGTAGTTTGGCTCTATGGCTTCAGGCAAAAAGCGGCAACTTAGCAGCAATTGTTTTTGTCCGGACCTTTTGTCCAAATCCACCGTCCGAGTTTTAGTCATTAGCAATATCAACTTTGATTCCTGACTGAAAGTTGCTATATATTGATTTAACAAAATCAACGCATGCTACAGACGAGGGTGCCCCATTGCCTGAACTTTCACAAACAGTTCGCATATCAGACACCTCTTGAGGAACCCAGATCCTGTCCCGGACATTTTGTTCCACAGCGAGATGGCGCCTAGGGTGACGATGCGCCTTGGGCCTGCCAGTGGGTCCTTGCAGTCTTGTGTGACCAATTCTGAAGTGCAAGAACTGTAGTTTGTTTTGGACCCTAATGAACCTATATACAGTGTAACAGTAAGCCCTTCCGGCCGGACCAACCACGAAACTGCATAACCTGACTTCTAGTTTTAAAGGACCAGATTTGAAACGCCCAGCAGATACCAGCCTCGGCTACTTTGACGTAGCCTTTGTGTTGATACTGCATGTAAGCATAGTCATGAACATAATACCTAGGCATATATTATACACATACATCCCGCCAGGTTCACTTTAGACGGTGCGTTATTTCACGGATTGCATTTGTTCACTTGCCTTTTTCTGCTCACCATTTGTGGAGCTTCTGTCTACGCTCATTGACATCGTCACATGACGTCCGCAGCCATCACTGGCACACATAGCTCCACAGCAAAAAAAAGATAGACGGTCTGCGGGTTTAACTGCGTAGCATCAAGTGCGTTTGCAACTTTACACGAACATCAACACCACCCCATTCGTGCCCACCATAGCATTAAGTACGTTTGCAACTTCAAGGAACGTCAACGCCGCCCCAAATTTTGTCCGAACGCGCGAAATGCCGGGGCCCGGGCCCTCCCCCTCTTCTGTAGTGCTCCTCCCCCTCACCAGCACCACTAGCATCACCACCGAGGACACCGGACCACCATAGCACGACGTCTATTCACTGGCAGCAGTGGCAAAGAGGTTGCGCACCAAAGCTTTTACGCAGTGCATGCACGTCTACGGTGTTTACACAGCGCGTGCAGCTTTGGGGCAAAGTGGCTCTTACACACTCCATCTCTTACACACGCCAGTGTTAACACGCCACGGTTTGTATACAAGCCAGCGTTCACACACCGTAGCCCTACACAAACGAGCGTTGACACAACGCAGCCTCCATGCAAAGCGGCGTTGACAAACCTCCACGCACGCCACACCACGCTGTACCAACCTCTCCTTGCGACCCCGGCGACTCTTTTGTGACCGCGCAAGCGCACCTTTGACAACCGGCGCACTTGCACAGCACAGCTTTGGCACCAGGCAATTTTAAAAACCACAACTGTTACACAGCCCTGCGTTTAGGCAAAACGGCTTTCACATATGTCTGCACAAAGCAGTGTCTACACTCCGCAGCTTCTACATGCTTCTACGCCAAGCAATGCTCACGGAGCACAGGGTTTAAATAAGGCCCTTCTTGCACACACCACTACCACCCGTTATGCACCAGAGCTTCTACACAAAGCGCTGCGCTGCACCGGAACATTGGCGCGAAGCCCCCCTCCACGATAACTATCAAGGTAACAAACACCACACGCAAAAATTTGTTCATTTCCAACCGCGCCTCGCGACCACTGCGCCCTTTTTTTTGGCAATGCGCAACCGGGCGCACCGCCCACTAACGCATGCAAAGAAAACATTTGTGCACCTGGTGAATATCCCACCTTTTGTGTTTCCCTGTCTTAATTGTCACCAACTCATTGGGATGACCCCTGACTTTGTTGGGGTGGCTGCCAGGCAGCTCGGCCAAAGGGATTTGGTGGACTGAGGCCTTCATATTTGGACTGGAGCGAGCTGGCGGTCAGCTTGGGCACCATAGGGCCCTTCAGATGACTGAGACATCCTGAAACATTGAAGTGTTTGTCATTCCATTTCCAAAGTTCTGTGTTTTTTTTGGCTGGATCTGATAGAGAAGTTGGAGAGCTTCTAGAACCTGAATCGTCTTTCGTTGAGTCACAGCCACAGCCTTTGAAAGTTGATTAGGTGATTGCCAGGGTAGGTTGGCTGGTATTGACAGTATCTAAGGTCCTGTAACCCCCTTGCTGAAAATGACAACACCATACATTTCATGACACGCACAACAAACTCATGGAATTTGCTCGACGTCTCAAAGGTTTCTGAATGGTTTCGGAGGACGCTGGATGACTGTTTTCTTCTTAACTGAGTAACTGTTATGCTATATAGTTATATGGTCTGCTTCCATGCTTGCAAAGTTTGAGACAAAAATAAGCAGCTCGAAACAGCTCAAGGTTTCGGACACAACGGCACATCTATATCCACCACGAGATCTCCGAGGATGCCTGGCAACGAGAGAAGCTGGCGCTGGACAACGGCTCGCGCGTCGTTGCACGCGCGTGCTGCGCACGTGACCTGTGAACATGTGGAAAGATCGGTTCAGTGTCTGCAAAGCCTATGCCAGTTATTCTTGCCAGTTGATTTGATTTATGTTTTTGACTTTCAGGCCATATATATATATATGTCATTACTTGTATATAGATCTATTATTATATGTGTCAAGGACATTCTGTTTGGAATGAATATACCCCTCGATGCATTCTCCTTCGTGTCCAGTGGCAGGAACACTGGCGCCTGTATACTATTGATGGAGCAATCGGGTACTTTGACACCCCGAGGCAACTGATGCAAAGTGGCTGCTTGCAGCATATGGTGACAAGAACGAAGCTTCCAATATTGCAAGAAGTTGGACTGCTGACACCGTTGTATTGCTAAAGCAGATGGATTGTTCCATGCGGTGTTCCGGTCATGTGTCAGAGGCAAATTTCTGTCGCTGACTTGCATTTGGGCAGGTTCATCCTTCAGGCACATCCCACTGTGCGCACCATGTCAGTGTTGGATCAAAGAGGCATTCGCTCGGCAACCAAACTTACAGATGGCTGACCTGGCGGGTTTCCTGTTTTATTTTAACGACATGAGCGCATTGAACGTGAAAATGGGTAAGAAAAGTGGCAAGATCACGACGCAAAGGTTACTATTTGAGAAAGAATTGTAATATTTTTTGTGAATGGAGCCAATTAACTACTTGGGAACAAATCAAATGCTGCTTCGGCCGCCAAGTTGGCGCAAACGTTGAAGGCATTGCATAACAAAGTCTTGGTGCGTGGGCGCGCACGCGCACTTTTATAAATTCAAACAGGGGGATGGGATGCAACATCCATTTAGACACTATCTGGCGATCTTCAAAAACTCCACAATGCTTGCTTCCAGATTACATCGACGAGTGGGGGGCTTGGCAGGCGCTTATCGTTTTTCTTCGTACATTTGTGATCTTCCTAAAGTCCCGCAATGGTTGTGTGCTTCTTGGAACGATGCTTCTGGTTAGAGGGCGACCTTTTCGGCGCCGTGGCAGAGGTCTCACTTTTCAATTGAATTTTAATTTAAGGTTTTGTTTTCATTGTTGCGCATGCACACCTCACGTGTTCGCCACGTTGACTTGCAGCGATCAGCTAGAGCTAGCGTGCACCACGCCAGTGATGGGGTGGGGTAGGGATGCTGACGTTCCTTGCGCATGTACACGTCACGTTGGCAATTTTGATTTTTCAGTCTTTTTGGATCGGTCTGTGTCTTTTCTGCCACGGCACCTTCTAAATTCATTGAGTTTAGGTTCATTGACAGTTCAGCTGGTGGTCCAAAGCATCGAAGATAGGTTCAGGTGAGGTCAACGTGTCTTGACAGATTTCCAATGTTTCAAGGAAGTGCATTAGGTGTGGAATCTTTGAAGACATTGACAAATGGAGAGCGGGTGCGTCGCTGTTACGAAACGAGTAGTTTTCCAGTTTTGCAAACATGGACTCTCTTTACACACCCCTTTCTGAACACATGCTTCTCGCTAGCGCGAATAACTGAAAACAAAAAGGCTCCGACATGACACAGCGGCCAAATGTAGTTTCCGCAGAACAGTTTCCGAAGAAAATCGGGAGGTTACCAACAGACAGTTGAACAGTTTCCGGAGAGAACCAGGAAGTTACCGAAGAATAAGATCGGAAGAAAGCCGGAAGTTGTAAGGAAGATTAATTAATGGTTGATCATTTTTTACCTACCGAATAGATCCGAATAGAACCTTGGCTGGCTTACCCCAGCTGCGTAGAGCCAGCCTTGCCACCTCCCGTATACTTGTTGTGGATACCCTGGATACCAAGACATGTGTCATCAAGAGACTTGTGGCATCCACGTCTACCAAGGCTTGGCTGCCCAATACCTGACACCAAACTGCACTAGTGCAGACGATACGGTCCAAGCCGGTATAGACCTCCATCTCGAAGCTGGATGGATTTGTTTCTTGACGGAAGTCGCGGCAGGGCTTCTCAATTTCACAGCAGCTAATTCTTTCTTCTCAATTTAGCGCTTTTGGGTGTCCTTGTTCTAAAGGTTCTATTCTTTTCAGTGGCGCTGCGCTGAACGGAAGTCAATGTACCAGTTCGGGTACAGTAATTTAGAGAATGCAAAAGGTATTCATGTAATTTAGAGATCAAAGGATCTGGGCTTACCCAGGTCACAAGGTGTGAGCAATGTTGCATTTGTTGGTGTAATATTAGACACAAGAAACATGAAACCCTCGCTGTCATGGTCACGGTTTGGTCGGGACAGATACTGTAGTAGAAGTAGAAGAAGAAGAAGAAGAAATATTCTTAAGCTTGAGCACCTGGGGCGCCCGCTTGTCTCAGATCCACCCAAACGTTCTTACTTGCGCGGCCATATCGAGAGTGCGTTTAAACTATAGTGTGTTTTCCACTGGGTTGTTGGTTGAGACTACTTTCCAGTCTACAGCTTACTTTTTGGATCAGGGGTGTTTAGGATTTTGGGGGTGCCAGCATGTTTAATCGAGTCTAGAAGTGGTATTGACATGCCGAACCGCCCCACGCCTGCACATCATGACACTTGACTTTCATAGACAAACCAACTCTGCAACCCACAGCGGCTCTTTAAGTCGAACTGAAGCTGAGGTCATGAGAGCTCTTGGTGGTTAACTCCAGCCTGCGCTGATCTGGGAGCTCAGTGGATGGATCTTTGCATCCCGCTCTTGGATGATGATTGGGGTGCCTCAACCTGGAGAGTTTTGGAGGACCAAACGCAGTAGTTTGTTTGCCCTTGTCGGCTCTCAACTCTAGATTGCCTAGTAACCGTCGCTGGATCTCTTCAACTCCTCAGTCTATCCAACTTTATCCGCTGGTTGTAGATGTGGGTGAGTGGCACATCGTGCCATCAGAGTGACTTGTTGCAGTGAAGCGTTCCAAGGCTACTGTTGAGGGTAGAACAGATACGTATCCAAGCTTTCCCATTGCCAGGTTATCCAAAGCCTGCACTGTACCGTTTGCTTTCCAGCGCAGGCGCGCAGCTGCTGGTGGGTTCTAGTTGCCAATGAATTTTTGAAGTGATTGAAGGCGCTTGAACGATTTGTTTGCTTCACACCATTTTATTCCATAAGTGGACACACGCATAGGACAAACATTGGACGAGATGTTTGTTGTATATACAACATGGTCACATGTTTCTTCGTATTTGAGATCCTGAAACAATTCGACTACCCGGTTTCCAGCCATTTCCCACGGGTCCTGTTTATATCTTTTGTTGCGTTCTGTTATGTTGTAAGAGTACTGTGGTCATGTGTTGTATTGAACGTCAAGAATCTGATGACGTGTCAGTCAGTCATTGTCAGGATTGATATGAAGAGTTCGTGTGTGGTGTGGCGGCATTTTGAATGACGACTATGCAAGGCTTTTAATTATTGTGGACGTTTTTGATATATATATATATATATGTATTTCCCCAAACAGTGTGGGCACACTGAGGGGTTCTTACGGTAGGTGAAAAGAAGGTGTGCATAGATCACTGTGCGTCGCGGCCGTGTCCGGCTAATTCGCTGCTATTTACAGTACATTCATGCCTCTCGAATTCCTCGAAGTGCATTTCGACTGCGCAGGCTCGCCGAATCTGGGTGTCCGCGGCGGGTGCTTCTAACGACTGCGCTCGCATGTGGTGCCGTGCGCATTTTCGCACATGGTGGTCACTTTTCGTGGCAGGCGCAGGGGAAACCTCGTGTTTTGGTGCTTCAAAGTCGACTTCGTGACAGGTGCAAGGGATCGGAGCTGTTTTACTTCGAAATGCAGTTTTCGTGGCCGGTGCAGCACATTGAACAAGTTGGTGATCGTCAAGAGCTCAGATTTGTGACAGGTGCAGCGAATCGTGACTTTTGGACATGTGGCTCGTTTGCAGATTTCGTGGCAGGCACAGCACTCTGTGACCCTCGATGTGCAGATTTCGTGGCAGGTGCAGCACTTTGTGAACCTCGAAGTGCAGATTTCGTGACACGTACAGCACTTTGTGAACCTCGAAGTGCAGATTTCGTGGCAGGCGCAGCACTATGGTGAACCTCGAAGTGCAGATTTCGTGGCAGGCGCAGCACTTGGTGACCTTGAAGTGCAGACTTCGTGATTTGTGAACCTCGAAGTGCAGATTTCGTGGCAGGCGCAGCACTTGGTGAACCTCGAAGTGCAGATTTCGTGGCAGGCACAGCGCTTGGTGGACCTGGAAGTGCAGATTTCGTGGCAGGCACAGCACTTGGAGAACCTCAAAGTGCAGATTTTGTGGCAGGTGCAGCGCTTGGTGAGCCTCGAAGTGCAGAGTTCGTGGCCGGCACAGCACTTGGTGAACCTCGAAGTGCAGATTTCATGGCAGGCACAGCGCTTTGTGAACCTCGAAGTGCAGACTTCGTTGCAATGTCGTGGCAGGCGCAGTACTTTGTGCTCTCAGATGCTCACTCTCCCACTCTCCCACTTTCACTCACACTCACACTCCCTCGCTCACACTCGCACGCGCTCACTCTCCCACTCTCACTCGCTCTCGCACTCACACTCACTCACTCTCACTCACACTCATTCTCATCCACACTCACTCCCACTCACACTCACCCTCACTCACACTCGCACTCCGTCACACACTCACTCACTCACTCTCCCACTCCCACTCACACTCACACTCACTCACTCTCCCACTCGCACACTCTCATTGTGAACCTCGAAGTGCTGATTTCGTGGCAGGCACAGCGCATGGTCAACCTCGAAGTGCAGATTTCGTGGCAGGCACAGCGCTTGCTTGGTGAACCTCGATGTGTAGATTTCGTGGCAGGCGCAGTACTTTGTGCTCTCAGATGCCCACTTTCGCTCACACTCACACTCCCTCACACTCCCACTCTCACTTTTACTCACACTCACTCCCACTCTCACTTACAGTCGCACTCACACTCACACTCATTCTCCCACTTTTCACTCACACTCACTCACACTCCCTCACACTCTCACTCTCGCACACTTACTCTCACCACACTACTCGCACTCGGACTCACTCTCCCACTCACACTCACTCTCACTCTCACTCTCACTCTCACTCTCACCCACACTCACGAAAAACCATCTTCACTCTCACTCACGCTCACTCACCCACACTCACTCTCACTCACACTCGCATCGCTCTCCCACACTCACTCGCACTCACACTCCTTCTCACCCACACTCACTCACACCCACCTTCACTTCATCACCACCATCACCTCTCTGGACCCCAATGCGTCTAGGTTTCTAGACTTTCTGCTTACAGACCTCACACACACTGTTTGGGGTCTCTTGCCGGGATATTCTTTTCTTGCCCCCCCCAAAAAACAACCCGCAGTCATATTTCACTGGTACTTGCAGTTACCATTGCACATGTTGGGCACCTTTTTTCCTAGTAAAAATTAATGGGTGTGAGTACACATTGAACAAAGGAGACAGCAACAAGAACAAAGAGTTTGTTATAAGTCTCAACTCTATATCTGAACTCAAGTCTGAGCAATGTATGGGTCCAAGATCCAAGATTTCCAGAAAACGTTTCTTGGATCCAGCCCAGAAATCTTGGATCCAGATGCTTGTCAAAGACCCTGAGAGCCATGCTCCGGTCAGCCCAGTACAAGTACTGGCACAAGAATGCTGATGTCTGGGCTGCCACCGGCATACTTTGCTCATGGGAAATTGCAAAGTTTATGTCGAAGAGCTGTGTTTAAAATGATATAGACCACCTGGCGAAAATTGCTGCGTCCTATTCTGCATCTACAAATCTGCTGCGCATCCTCCCTGCTCTTCATACAAAAAAATGTGACCTCTTCCACCTGTGCTTCCGTCTGGAATCAAACTATGTCGCTCATCAACTACAATGCGCAGTCTTCAAGCATTGAACGTGGCTCAACCATTTGTCCGCATAATAGACATGTCTTCAGCAACTTCACCAATAGTCACGCGGTTCACCAACACACACAATCTAACAACCCAACTGGCATTTGCATGCAAATCTTCTGCACGGTGGGTTCGCGGTGGGTTTTGGGGGGGTTAGCATATTACTGAAATGGAAAGATATGATTGATTGACAGAATGAGGGACCTTTCGTGCCCATGTTTTCTCTTCCTTTTCTAGACTCATTCTGGCCAAAGTGAAGGCCCCCACACACCGTGTACAGCCCGCGTTGTTTTGCTAAGGGGTACCCGCTCGCGCCCCGGCAGGGAAGATGGTAAAGCAAATCTATTTTACAATTTTAACTGCGAATCGGCAGAGCAATTCGGCCAACAGACCGGAAAAAAACGGTACAAACATATCGTCGGTTTTTTACCGTTTTAGTGTGCGTGTGGCAAAAATGACACGGGCGACCGACCTGTTTTTTTTTCCGCCTTCACCGCGGAAGTGTCTTCGGGGAACCCCGTAGCCCGAGCAACACCGTTAAAGCAGAACAGTTGATTTCGATTCAACGCTTGGTAGCGTTGTTCAACACCGTTTTTCTGTTGCTCAATGCGTTGTTCAAGGTCTCCCAATTAACGCTGCGAGGACTTCGAATCGCCAAGCTCACGGTGGGATACAGCGTGCACAATGTCACTTGGGCTGTGGTTGATTTATTTCAATGGCGGTGGTGGACGGGATAAATTTGGTCTCAAAAAACCACAAGTCACTCGGAGACTTGGCTTGCCACTCAACCATTGCCTAGGCCACCCAGGCCACACCTTTGTCGGAAGGTAGATTTGCCCGTCTCTGAATTTTGAGTTGTGCCATTTTGCTTATGTCTTCCAAACAGCATCAATACTGAATACGGCCCACCCGAAACCATTTTGCGAAGCACGTTAAGTCGGCTCTTGCCCACACGGGAACCCCAATAAGCACAGGTGCAGTGAGAACAGTTTCAGCCATATTTTGGTGAATTTGGCTGCGTCCCTCCTTCGGGGCCAGCGACACATTGAACATCTTTATCAAAGAACATGAATAGTTCAGATAGTTCAGGAAACTTGCAGGCTTTGGGTTGGCTGAAGTTTTTATTTTCCTCAAAGCCTTAAGGATGTGATCCTCCACTTTCGCAATCGCACACTCTTCCACTGGTGGGATACAGCGCCTCAGGCTGAAGAGCGGAATGGCTTTCGAAAAGCGTGCGACACCTGTGGAGGTTCCTCTGTTGGTATCCTTTCAAACGCATCGTTTCCTTTTTTCTTCCTTGCAATCATATTCCCCTCAGGTACCCGTCTGGTAGGTTTGTTGAATGTTGATTTTGATTCCGTGTGCAACGCCAAGCGGAGCTTAGAGTTTGATAGTTTAGCGACAAAGAAAAGTACTTGGTTTGTCCATCAAAATTGACATCAAATAATACGGTCACTACTTCTTATTACAAAATCTACAAATCATTAAATGGCTTCCTTTAAATAGGCTTTGTATGGCTTTGTTGTTCTTGACTATTCTTGTATAATTTTCTTTTCATGCGAGAATTTGGCCAAGGACAGTACCTACAAGTCGCGGCATCCATTGAAGCTACACCTCAGCGGCGCTGCGCCTTGACAGAAAAGGCTCTGGGGTGAGAGGCGACTTGAACAAACAGAACAGGGAAAAAAAGGTCCACAGACATATACAATAGCAGCTTCTTCAAGACCGTGGAATATCGCAACTGATGATGGGAAACTTTGTTTTTACTTGCGCCAGAGTCTGCTTCTCTTTCTCTCATTCTTTGTCAGTTGACATGTACTCGTCAGTTTCTTGTGAGCTGTTGTACGAGGGGCCAGATTGACAGTTCTTTGGCGGATGCAGCAATGACCAAAACCTGTAGGTGACTCTAGACCTTCGTCATTAAACGCCATGAATGATTCTATGAAATTGAGGGGAACCGCAACAGACCCAACAAGCAAGAACAAGACTCTTTTCCGGTGGACACAAAGCCTCCATCGAGTCTCTGGCTCCTATGTGCTTGCCTTGAGTCGAGCATTGGGCGTCAGTGCATTTTCACACCGGCCCTACTCTAACGGCCAAGCGAGACCAAGAGAACGTCATGCGTTGTGCATTGAGTTCTATGGCCCTTTTCGGAGAGTGACCAGTAACCTGAGTTACAAACACGTCTAAGGAAATCAGAGTTCATCTTTTTCGTAAGGGGATCCGCGATCATGTTATCACCAGCAACCCAACGTAGAGAACCCCCCGATCTATAGAGATCGTCTTTTAAGATGGCTATATCGATTGCCGTTCTCTTGTCCTCGACCTGAGAATATGTACACACCAGTTTGTTGATGCAGTCGTATAGCGACCGAGAGTCCACTACTGAGACGCAGGGGATGGCTGCCAAGTGCCGTTCCCAGTCCTTAGTCTCCATGGTCGTGCCCGTGAGCTCGAGCAGGAGGTAGCGGTGCCAATGGATATGGCCAATGCCATGGACCAATGACTGACATTCGGCGCTCAAGGTGTTGACCGTTTTTCTTTTGAGCTTTGTTGACTTCCATGAGGTCACTGATACCATGTGTGGTTTGTCTTCCGTTTCCATCCTCTTGTCATAGAAGATCATCACATAGCCTCCTTGGCTGCTGCAATTCATGAGCTTAAGGAAAGTGTCGTTGATCTTTCCGTGCTCTAGCTCATGTCCTGGTAGTTGCTTTGTGAAGATGGTCTTGCCAGTCCATGGTATGTCGGACCATGTTCTGACGCTATTTCCTTTTGTCCATTCATCTTCTAGGACTTCTTCGGTTGTGGTCATTGTTCTTCGACCTGGCTGTAGATCATGAAGATCTGGTTCTGGTTCAGCTCCTGGGTGGAATAGAACTCGTCGAGGAGTGACATGATGTCGTATCCAGTGAGATGGTGTTTCTTCCCAAAAGTCTTCTGAACTATGTTCCAGCTGATCTTGGCTTTTTGCGTTTGACCATGAGGCATCCGTAGCTACCCCGATTCTCAGGTTTTCTGGTCTGATTGGCATAATCTTGATGCCACTGGAAGGTTGCTTCCGGGCTTCCTGAGTGATGAGTGATGGAGTTTGCCTCGATGATGTCCTTGATACGTGGTCGTGGGAACACCTGTTGGAGTAAGGCTACTCGTCCTGCAATGTCAGGTCGGCTTTCCTTGGCTAACCAAGCTAGGGCTCCAACACTGGCACGGAGTTGAGTGATTTCCTTTTCATCACAAAAGGTGTACCTTTTTTTCTTTCGTTGTTTTTCCAGGTTAATCTCGAAGAGCTTTTCCTGGATGTAGTTCTCCTGGTTCACGACAATGCTGAAGTCCTCATGTTGTGTGAACATCTTGCCGGTGAACTTTCCAGATCCATATTGGAACTTTCCAAGTTTATATCATATCTGGTTTTGATCTGGTCCATTGCTTTCTGATGTTCTTCGTCACCTCCGTGGAGAAGGTCATCCGTTGCTACAGCAATGACACCACTGAGTACTTTTTTTCCGCTCTGGGAATTGTGCTTGTGCTTGTAGTAGATGCACGGGTCAGCTAGGGACTGTTGGTACTTCAGTTGGTCTGTCAAGAATTTCTTGAGCTGGTTGTACCATGCAAGTGGTCCGTCTGTAAGACCATAACAGACCTTCTCGAGCTTGAGGAGCTGGCTTGGTGCGACTCCTGGTATACCTTCACGAGGTGGAGTAGCATACAATAGACGGTCTATTGCATCTCCACTATGGAAGGCTTGTGTGAAGTCCAGAAAGCCAAGTTTCCATTGGTGGCTTGCCACCAATTGAGCGACCATGAGTGTTCCTTCACGGGTGACTTGAGGTGTTGTTGCTTCGATGTCCTCGGATCCTTGTTCACTGAATCCTTTCATCACATGTCTTGCCTTCGCTTTGCATGGTTCTTCAGAATCCCAGTCTAGTAGGATTCCCTCTTGTTTTGCCGGTTCAACTTCGTGAGGTTCCAGCGGTTTTGGAGTAAGAACCAATCTGCTTTCCATAATGCGATGTGGCATAGTTTGTCGAACTTTGGCGGATTCTTCCGGAGAGACGATCGAGTAGGCGCCAATGTTGATGTTGTTATTGAACTCCTTGCCAATCGCTGTCTTGAAGCACTTCTGGTTCTTGTTGCTGAGTTCCTGAAAGCGAATTTCCTTTCTTTGTCTGGTTTTCATCAAATTTTCTACTTTGTTCAGGTAGATCTCGAGTTGTTAGTTTCTACTGACTCCTCTGTGTTGGGGTCTGCTGTTTGTTCGTCCTGCAAACCTTCTTGAGGAAGCTCAGTTTGTTCCGCTTCTTGATCTGGGTGTAAATTCTCTTGCGGTGCTTTTGTGCGATATCTCTTTGCTGGAGGTGGATATCCGAGCGGTTCTTGAAGTCCTTCTGGTATTGGAGCTATTGGGAGTTCCATTGGTGTTCCTTCTGGAGGTTCCGAGGGCTCGTAATCCAGATCATCTAAGGCTTTGTCCCCAGCTTCTGGAGGTAGTGGTTGGTCGGATAGGTCCAAGAAGCCTCGGACCGGCTCGGTGAGAAGGTCCTTCTTGATCTTGACAATGTCGTCGAGCCATCCAGAGAGGGCCATGATGCGAGCGGGTCCTTGCCAATATCCAGGTCGGAACTTGAGTTTCTTGTCTGCTCCCATTCTGTAGAAGTAGACAATTTCGCCGATGTCACAGTCCAGAACTGGTCTTGGTCCTGAGGAGATAGCTCTTCTTAGGGCTGCATCGGCATCCGCTTCGATGAAAGCTTGTGCTGCAGCCTGTCGTAGCTTCATGGATCTTTCAATGGCGAGGTCTCCCATCTTCGGTGTAGGGACTTCTTCTCTGTTTCGATGTCCATCATCTCCATTAAGTAGTCCTCCGGGTAGGAATGGGTTGAAGCCCAATACCCGTTGACATGGACTGAATCCGCCCACATTCATCATTCGGTTCTTGGTCATGGTGGTGATGTCGACCAATTCTTCCCACTCCTGCATGCTGCCGCAGTTGTAGGTGTCCATTGTTTTCTGGAGGATGTACTTGAAGGTCTTTCCATGGCGTTCTGTTATACCCCTTTGGTGAGGGCTCTACTGCAGCTGGATCAATGTAGGTGCCTTGCTCAACTTGTTCTGCAAAAGTCCCTCGAAATTCTCTTCCGAGATCCAGGGCCATTCGTTTTGGTGGCCCGAATAGCCTGAGCCAATGCCGGTAGGCTTCTCTGACTTGTCCTGGCTTCTTGTTGGGCAAGGGGATCATGAGTTGGAACTTGCTAGACCAGTCTATCACATTTAGTGCTGGTTTGGATCGATTGCCCAATGTTGGCAGGTAGACAACATCCACCCCAACGCATTCGTTGAAACTGAGTTCCTTGGGTGGAGCACTTCGGGCTGGTCGAACTTGAGCATGTCGTTGGCGTACACTGCATTTCAGCTGTTTTGCTGCTTCAATGACCTCTGGTTTGGCCTTGGCGTACCTGAGGATGCGAACAAAACGGTCTGGACTTGGATGTCCCATTCCCACGCGTGCTCGATGAAGTAGTCGATCCATAGTGAATCGTCGTTCCAGGGGTAATGGAGCATTCGGTCGTTCCTCATCATCTTCTCTCTGTTCTTCGCCATCCTCTTCTGGTTCCCCCGCATGAAGTTCCCAAGCACGGTCATGTGCAGGGTCATCGGCTTGTTCTGGTTGTCCCGAATTACTATCGCCTGGATGACCTTCGTGTTCAGGATCTGGGAGATCACACGGTAAGCCCTCTGGTAGTTGATCAAGTTCAGGTCCAGGCTGTTGGAGTTGTCCAGGATGTAGGTCTTTGTCCTAGTGACATTTCGACGGCTAGAAGGTCGTTCAGCCGTTCGTTCTGACTAAACATCTGTTCTGATGTCGTGAAGTGGACCTGATTCCCGATGGATTGGGAGTACGCGGCCAAAATGGAGACCTTCGGGATAGACTTGAGATTTCTTGGACTTGTTGCCACCAATGATCACTTCATGTTGATGATCTCCCGGACATAGAGCAGAAGCTGATCCATGGCACGGTGTTTCCACGAGGATGCAGCGTGGGGATGTTCCAAAAGGAACTTGATTCCAAGATCATTGCATAAGTCGCACAACTCGATGGCAAAACGAAGAAGCTGTTCTCCATCTGATTTCCGTTTCAAACACTTTTGAAGAAGAGATGGAACACGTTCTCGTTTATGTTTGGACAAGTTTTGCAATTGTGAATACATTTCACATGGTGGTGCAATGCAAACAAGACCAGGTCTCACATCCTTAATGTATTGTTTCACCTCGTTTCGTTTGTTTGTTTGCAGCAAGTCAAAATCCAACTTCAAATCAAATGCATGTCCAGGAATGAGATTGAAACGATGAGCAATCTTTCCAAAACAACCTGGGTTATAAACCTCAGCGACAGTTCGAAGTTGTTGGTGCGTTGGTCCCATGATCTCGGCGATCTCATGCGTTCTTTTTGATCCTCTCGGATGCAAGGTGAACTCTTCACAAAGTTCGTGATTAAAGAATTGATCCAGTCCCGCAGTGTCGCATCTCCATCATGCGTGTCTGCGAGAATGTACTGGATCTGCTTCCAAAAAGCCACAGCCTTCTTGAGGGCTGCCCTTAGCTTCCTTTCAAGCTTCGGGGTCATTGGCTTGATGGGCCCTTCATTCGGCGCCAGCGCAGGAAGTCCATGAAGTCCTGGTAGTCTTCCGGCTCGGTCATTCCTTCCTGAGGTGATGTCGGAGTCGGCGGGTGTGGCGGTGCCTCCGACGGACTGCTGGGAGAGGCCGTTTCTGTGACCGCATTCTTCTTCTCCTGGCGAATCACCTTGTTGCAGTAGCGGCATGTCACCTTGGTCAGGAATGCGTTCGATCCCTTCCGGTGAGTTGCGGAGTGAGGGCAAATTTCCTGGACCATTCCTTCCAGCACCTCGGCATAGGATTTGGGACTGTCGCCTGGTTGTTGGCGATACTTCCAGCTGGTCACATCCTTCAATGGCTGACAGGGTGTCCATTGTTTGAATTCGCACTGTCGACCCGGGTGATGCGGGCAAATGAAGTAGAGCTCCTCCTCGTGGTTCTTGTCCGTGCTCAGGTGAAGCTTCACCTGAAGTCCGCAACGGCAGCGAGGTCTCGATCTGGTCGCAACGGAGCGTCCTCACCAAGGTCGTGGGTTGAGGCTTCCTCTGTGATCCTTCCGAGTGCTGTCCTGGCTCGTTGATCATGATGAAGCCCTCAGAGAGTTCTCCACGACGATTCATCTCGTCCTTGGCCATCTTGGTCACCTGACTGAGCTCCTCGTCGGACATGTTCTCGATCAGTCGTGACAGGACTCGTCGCTGAGACTGCGCCCCCATAACGGTCTCCAAGAGATGTTCGAACTAAGTACTGGAGGGGCATGAGAACAACTAGCAGTCGGTGAGTCAGCTGAGTCCATGCTTTCATCGCCTTTTCCTCGGGGTTCTCCGGGGGAGCTTGTCGGCTGCGCTTCTGACCAGTGTTCTGCATGGCGAGCGGGAGGAGCCGGTGATTTCAATGCCGATGTGCCTTGAGACTTGTCAGGCTCCAGCGGGTTCGAGCATTGTTCATTCAGTTTCAAGACCTCGAATTCTGGGAGCGGCTTTCCAGTATCACTTGATTGGGCTCTTTGCAGTGCTGTCAATTGAAGGGCAGTGAACTGTTGTAGTGGAATACGAAGTGCTCCAGTTGGTCCAAGGTGTAAAGGGACAGGTTCATGGTTTCCGCGAAGTCGGAGTTGGAGACCTTTTTCAAGACACAACCCTATATCACCATGACAATGAAGCAGGAAACTAAGGGAAAGTAGAAATGGAGCGTTGGTGCTCTCGTCATTGTCAAAGACCGCCGGTTTCAGGAAACTGCCTTTTGTTCCGAGTGAGCTGGGAACATTGGCCACCTTAGTCGTGATCGAAGTTTGATGAGCGCTCCTGAATTTGTTGGTCTCGGAGTGAATCGTGATCCTCAGCTCCGGTGGTAGGTGTTGGCTGAACTTCTTCAGGGTCGTGGCTCCAATTGCCAATCGCTGACATCCAGTATCCACGGTGGCACAGGTGGCATCATCTGGGGGATGTTGGGAGTACTGGGATACCAGATCGCAAAACATGTTTTCATAGAAAAACAAACCACCCATGCTAAAATTCACAACAGTGTCACTCTCCATATATGACCGAGCAATCGGACGGTGATTCGATGCCCTATAGCTAGGTCTGTACAGCCTGCGTGGTCTTCAGTTGAAGTCCTCAGAGTGGTCTTCTCGCCAGACCACAGGATGACCGGCTCAGGTGTTCTTGTTCTCGTCATCTCAGAAGGCGAGGAGCTGGTCGGGCCATGACTGGAGAGGTTCTGGTAGTTGATATTCTCAGTCTCCAGGCTGCCCATAAAGTGCACCTCGGGTGTGTTTTCCAGATGATGTGTCTCATTGGTTCGAGTCGGATTCGTCGAGGACGAGCTGCCAGGCTTCATGGGAGGATTTTTGCAATCCCTTTTCCAGTGACCGATTTGGCCACACTGTCGGCAGCGTGTTCTTTTCTGTAGCTCGGCGAAGGTCACTGAGTAGGATCCGGGTCGTATAGAGGTCGGTCTCGATCTCGATCTCCTCGATTTGAGCCACCAAAATTCGATCGGCGTACGGCGCCATAGCCTCGTGCCAGTTCCCTATTTTTCTTGTCCTTGATCGACTGGGTGTAGGTCTTCTTCTGTTGGAGATAGGTCGAAAGGATCCCTCGCGACTTGGCCTTCGTCGCAATCCACAATTGGGCCTTGATGTGATAATCCTCGAATGGAGTTTGTCCATCCCATGCCGGTGGAGGTCCGGAAGCCCCTCTTCCTTCTCCACTTTCATCACCTTCTTCATCTTCTCGCTCACGGCGGCGCCTCTGACGTAGCGGACCGCGGCCTTCATCTCTCTCCATCTGGAGAAAGCGTTGGAACCGAGCGAAGGCCTCTCGGTCGCTCCCCAAAGCGTCTTGCGCGCCCTGAGCCCCCATGGAGCCAGCAGCTGGTGAACCTCCGCCAGGTGGTTCATCCAAGTCGCCATCTGAAGGCGGAACGGCCTGCCTATCGGCCATTCCAAAAACCTAGACAGGATGGAGGCTAGGATCCACCAAGAAAAGAGTCACCCCAAAAACCAGCCCGGTCGGAACCGGGCTCCGCTACCACTATGAAATTGAGGGGAACCGCAACAGACCCAACAAGCAAGAACAAGACTCTTTTCCGGTGGACACAAAGCCTCCATCGAGTCTCTGGCTCCTATGCGCTTGCCTTGAGTCGAGCGTTGGGCGTCAGTGCATTTTCACAGATTCTATCAAGAGGCGAATTCATAGCCAGATTCAATGTCACAAGATATGAAAGTGGAACACCAGAAGGGGAGTTTACAATCTTCCAAGCTGCAGGTTCTCATGCCATCTCCGTCCATAGGTTTTTGCTGGAACACTGAACAATGTGATCAATTGAGCACCGGCCAATCTTGACATGGACTGGAAGAGCTCCAAGATCAAGGGTGTATCATAGTCATACAAATCAATACAAATCAATCCTTCTTCCTACACTCGACTGCACGTTCTCATCAATGTGCTTGTTTACTTTTTCCTACCCGATTCTTGACAGCGTGAATTTGTTTGTCGCTGCTTAGGCCGAAGGTCACTACAATGAGAAGATGGTTTATCCTCCATTATTGGCGGCAGACGAGCAGTTAAAGGCCAAAACCTGTTGATCTGCACGGTGTTTCTTTGTGGGAGAGGTTGCAGTTGTTGGAGGGCTGGCAAAGGGAGGAGACTTCTGCAATTGAAGAATGCTACGACATATAGACTTTGCAGAATACTGCTTGTTTTATTTTGTTTGTAGCTTAAATTCACGCTTCTGAGGTACTTGCCAATTGGACTCCCGCTGCAAGCGGCACTGCATCCAACACACCTTACATTCTGCCAGGACAAAGTGTTAGGGCAACACCCACACACACACTGATCTGAGCGGCAGGCGAGTTTAGAGGTCTTTGAGACTTTGAGACCTGGTAGATCCTGGTAGATTCATTAACTGACTTGTTAATTAATCTGTGCCCCGCAGGTCTTGCTGTCCAACATCCTTGTGACTAATGATCACCTCAACGAGATGCTACTGCAGGCCCATGAAGATAGAGAGAGAGAGAGAGAGCGAGCGAGCGAGAGAGAGAGAAAGAGAGAGTGTGTGTGAGAGGGTGTGAGAGAGTGTGATTGATTGATTGATTGAATGAATGAATGAATGAATGAGTGAATGACTGAGTGAGTGAGTATGTGAGTGAGGGAGCGAGTGAGTGTGAGTGAGGGAGCGAGTGAGCGAGTGAGGGAGTGAGTGAGCGAGGGAGTGAGTGAGAGTGAGAGTGAGTGAGAGTGAGAGTGAGAGTTGGTGAGAGAGTGAGAGTGAGAGTTTGAGAGTGAGAGTGAGAGAGTGAGAGAGTGAGTGAGTGTGAGTGAGTGAGTGAGTGAGACAGTGAGTGAGTGCGTGTTTCACTTCTCCCACTCATGTCATGTTCCCCTAGCCATTTCATAGACTCAATTTGATTATATAGTTGTCACTTCAATGCATAGCGGCGTAGCCATAGTGGAAACAAAGGACCCTGCTGTCGCAGGAGCAACAGTTTTTGGAAACATGAGAGCAGATTGGATTGGTAGCGGAGCCCTGTATAGCAGGGCCAGCTTGGACGAGGTGTGATTGCAAAGCCGGAGGCAGCAGTGAAGAGGTTTTGGGGGAAGCCGCAGCGTCCAGAACAAGAGGGGCACTTCCCAGGACACCCATGTCAGCAGCTCTGGCTACCTTTGACCCAGTGTCGATGGACGACGTCGAAGGTTGAGGAAGCGTGGCAGTTCTGGATGAACGATTTGCTGAACAAGTAACCCATGACAAGCTGAGCAAGGTGCTTGACAAATCTTCGACCTCAAGATTGACAAGGGTGAGTCCACTGCCACCTACTCCGGCCCGCATTTGCAGCCCTCCGCTTCCCATGAAAGGAGCGCTTCCTGGAACGCATGTGCGCGCACGCTCATCTTCCATCCTTTAATGAAGACCTGTAGTTGGACTGGCTTGCTGGACCTGCCCAAAGAGCCATTCCCAGACCTGAAGATGCGCGGCGAAGCGCCGGAGGATGGTATCCCAACGCCAGGTGCTCATGGTAGACTTCGACGACGACAGTGAGCCCACCGAGGAACAGGGTGCAATCGGCGGTGGTATGTGAAATTTGACCCGCAGGCGCCACCCTTCCTAGATTTGTTGGAGAGAGATGAGCAGATGGGGGTGTGGAGGTTTTAGGCAAAAATGTTGAGATGATGTTCAAAAGAGCCATAGACCGTCGTTGACTCATTGACAATTGAGACTATGCGCAAGACAAACGGTATACTGGAGCCCTGAGACCACCCTGAGACCACCCAGCCAGAATCGCATGGTCTCAAGTTCACTTCGTTTGGGTGTATGAAGGGGTAGAGGGTAGAGGGAGTCAATGGCGCTCTGGAGCGGCCCCGGTATTGTTGCAGGGCCAGCCGAAAAATTTTGTTTGCGCCAGAGACCGAAATTGAGAACGGTGAGGCAGCGTAAAGGGCCTGTGATGCACTCTCGTCATAGATGCACTCACCATTTCGGCAAAGGATCCACCTTTGGTTTTGCGAGACTTTTTTTAAAGAGCAGGGTCTGGGCGAGCAAATATATAATGGTTTCACGTTTCAAGACTCACCTCAAGCCAGGGAAAAAGCAAGCATCGCATTAGTTTTGTCGCAGTATATTATCTCCGGGCCCGGGTTTGATCAGACAAGAAACTGTCATGTTTCTGGTAACCTCTAAGTTTACACCGATGCAGCCGAACACTGTAGCCGTAGGTGGACGTACAGGAACAACTTAGCCCTGCAAAGACGGTAAAGCAAAGGTGGGGGGAGGAGGGGCAGGACGGTGTTGAAATTCACCCAGCAACATGATTGACGTGCGCCGCAGCCATTTTGGAGATTTTCGTGTATATCGAGCGCTTCATAAGGGAACGTATGAGCATCAGGGGCAGTGTGTGAAATTTTTTTGTTACGGAGTCATGTTGACTCTTTTCTTTAGTGCTGCGGATGATGTGGGCAGTTTTGCCGACGGATGCGCTGGGAAAGGGAGCCTTCGCAAAGACCATGCTGCCTCCGACACAGCGCTGGTTGGGCTGCATCCCGGGTTGTTGCAGGGACGCTCTCATTTGATGCTGCAATCGGATGAGTTGTCTGTCCGTTCTTCGTATCTCGAGTGGTTTTGCGGCCGTTCATTTCTCCTGGCCCGCTGTGGTAGAATGCTGCGTGTTGTCTTTGCTTCACTGCGCATCGATCCATCCCCAATAGCCTGGAATCTCTCGTCGCGGAAGACGCCAGAGAACTATTTTTGCGCCAGAAATGTTGGTGACCGCGAGCTTTACGAAAGGCGGTGGAACACTGACTGAAGTGGGTGTTTGAAGGAGAAAGGTGGGAATGAAAAAGAAGCTTCTCTTGAGAAGGTGTCCTTTTATAAAATCCTTAGCGTGTTTTTGGTTGATTTGGCTTAGGGCTTAGGTCAGCGAAGGAAAACATAAGAAGATCCTCAGGAAGCGTTCACCAGTGTTACCCAAGGCTTTCTAGAGAATTTAGATGCCCACCCTTACCAGTACTACAGGCGTGGGCTTGAAAGTTTCAAAGCCAAGCAAATGTGCATTTTTGCAGTGACTTCATTTTTTGCTTCAGTAATGAAAGCTGACTTCATCAGTTTGTCATATCTGGTCATAGCTGTGCATGTTGAAGTTTGATTTGGCTAGATGAGTTCCTCAACCCATAGTTCTTTGTATGCTTTCCTGCTACATGTTATTTCATTTTTCCGGCCAGATGGCAGACGCCATGAACAGCTTCTTGGCAGGGCGGTTGGCCGGCAGGGTCAGGAAGTTTAGGTTCAGAGAAGATGGCCGTGATTGCAACACATATATAATTCCAATCCTATAGTCCATCATCATTATCACCAATGTTACGTTTGTAATGCAAATATTGTTTTCTATTTTCACTCCTTCAGTATGGTTTTCATCGATATGCTTGCGTTGACAAAATATTGGGTTTTGATGTCTTTGGCTTTGGGAGGTGAACCAGAGAATATTCTGGACACTGCAGCAGAAGTTCCGGAGAGACACCCTGTTTGCTTTCATTGGCTTGCGCGCCGTCCAACCAAATGGCGTTCAGGTTCAGGCCCACTGGGCAGCTTGAGCCCCTTGCGCCAGAAGGCGCAGACGATGAGGATTTGAACGGTTGCTTTGCCTGGGGTGGCTGGATGGGCTGATAATAAGGGTGGCGCCAAGGCTGCATACCACACCAGACTGAGCCATCCAATGCTCTGCAAGTGTTGTCAAGGAGTCAAGGACTGTGTGTGTCCAAAAGCCGTGAAGTTGGGTGCAGGTGGCCTGCGACTGGCTCCGGAAGAATGGTGAGGTTTGGAAGTCATGGCTTCCAGATCCAAGAACTTGTTCTCTGGGCCAGGTGGGTCTTCCTTCTTCTTGTTGTTGCTTGGCTGACCTTCATTGGAAAGAATTTGTGTCGCTAAATGCTACTGACTGCATCTGCCCTGTGCCATCAAAATTCTTGCTGAACTCTCAGCGTGATTGACGACTGCAAAACCTTGTCAGTGTGTGTGTGTGGTTTCTGTCGTGACAGAAACTTGGCAGGGCTACGATGCTGAACGCTCTCGCTGTGAGATCTGCAACGAAGGTAAGCGAATATGAAGCCGTTGTGGCGGTGGTGGTGGTCGTTTGTTTGTGTTTACCACTGTAGTATTCTTCTGCCCTGGAAGCCAAGTGTTCAGCTTTGAACCGACTTCTCGACAGCTTTTCGATTTCGACGACGTAGGTAGGTTACCAGTCTGCTTCTTAGGGGTGGGCAATTGTGACAAAGCCATCCGACTGGCGCTTGAGGCATTCACCATATTCGCGAATTTTTGTAACTTGACCAAACCCATGTTCCAAATGGATTATAGACATGACCCCACCCAACCCCTATATATTAGTGTAGTGATTAAAGGAATGTTCTGAGACAGAGTAGGGTTTCCTGGAATGACTTGGAGCCTTCCGTCCTGCCTTCATTCCCGACCGGTCGATTTGGTCGGAAGGTACCTTTTCCAACCGCAGCGATGGGGAAGTCCTTTTGTGCCAGCCCTGTCCGCCTGGGCATCAGTGTCCCACGGAAGGCATGGTGCCGCTTGGCCACTGAAATACACTATGACACTATGTCTATGTATGTGTTCGTGTATGTACGTATGTATGTATGCGTGCGTGCGTGTGGTTCGCTTTCCTTTCCTTTTCTTTTCATTTCTATGCAAAAAAACCGCTTCTTATGCCAAAAGCAACAACAAGAAAGGCCCATGTTGACTGCAAGGGAACTTGGGGTTCAAGACCTGTGCCAAGAAAAAACGCTTTGATTTGAGGTTCTTCAAAGGTGGATCCTAGATGCGCGGGCAAGCCTGCCTCATATAAGACAAGGCATGGGCGTCATACGTTTTTCCAATCAAAACAATTGACCATTTCAATCTGACAAATTTCTGGCATATCTTCTGATTCTTTCTGGCATCTCTTCTGACATTCATTGGCATTCTATCTGGCATATCTTCTGACATTCTTTCTGGCATCTCTTTTCGCATTCATACTGGCGCATATTCGGACTCTTTTTGACATTCTATCTGTTATCTGCCATATCTCCTGACATTCTTTCTGGCGTTCTATCTGGCATATCTTCTGACTCGCGCGGGGAACACTGCCATCCGGAGCTGGCCGCGGGGAACATTGCCATCCGGAGCTGGCGGTTGAGGTCTGGCGGGGAACACTGCCATCCGAAATTTGCGGTTGAGGAGGCGGAGGGCCAGGGGGACGAGGAGGAGGAGGAGGAGGAAGCAAGGCAGCCGACGTAAAACCTATCAACCCTCACCTGACAGGTGTCAGCCGGTCCCTCGAGGGCGTGCCTCCTTTCTGCTTCTGCAAAAATGGGCTATTCTATGGTGCGCCTCAACTGAAACTTGGTACACGCCTCGTCTTGTGCGACCACCTCAAGCTCTGCAACACTCCCCCTCAGTGGTTCCCACTGACACCTTGCGAAGGACATATGGTCTGGAAAAGCACTATGTTTGTTTGTGGTTGTATGGGAGTTGTAAGTTTACCTGGTGGTTTGTTTTGTGATGTAGAAGATATATATATATATATATATAGTCATAAGGTTCCTCTCTGCAACCTAGGTTATAAGTAGGGCTAAATCAGTCATATATGCCCCAAGTTCTATAAGTTTGGTAGTCCTATTTGTGAAAATTGTATGTATGCTACCAAACATACACTAATTGCTAAGTTCGGTAAGTGTAAAACAAAAACCATGCTTTGAGACACTTACAGCACTTATAGAACTTAGCTTTTTTGAGGGTTGAAAACGCATATATTTGTCAAGCAGTGTATTCACTGTCTACGGTGTTGTCAAAAAGAAAGTTGCTTGTGCTTACTGAATGACATTGCATATTTAGGAACAATGATTGAGTGCAACCATAAAACCAAAGGAACTAAAGTTGGACGTCTTATCCATGGTTTCTGACATGTCCCATGGTCCCATGGTGGCGAGCTTCGCGCGCTTGAGCCTTCAAATTCTAAATTTCCATCGTGCAAGTGGGCACCTATGTTTCATACATATATATATATATGGTGTATCAACATGCAAGAGGAAGTCAGCAGTGTAGGATTGTGCGCAAGCATGCAACTCGGATATGCGTGAATGTCTAAAAGTCTTTCAATCAAAAACATGTAAAAAAGATATTGTCAAAAACATAGGTATATTCAGCATCAGAATTAAAAACATGTGTAGAAATTTAAAATGTAAAAACTACTTTACTTAATGATCCCCACCATGACATGTCAAAACAGCCACGTTGACATAACCCTTGTTGTGTATTTCAGCCCATAGCACAAGCCCTTCAGCGCCAAGTCTTACTGTTTTGTCCGAAGCGAGTGCTTTCATCAGGAGACCTGTGCCGAACTAATAATACAACTCAGATCATTTCAGTAGTAGTCGTATTGGGCGGCCCAAAACTGGGAAACTTCCGGGGCCCGCACTACTACTACTACTACTGCTACTACTACTACTGCTACTACTACTACTGCTACGACGACTACTACTACTACGACTACTACTACTACTACTACTACTACTACTACTACTACTGCGGTAGTAGTAGCAGCGCGCAGTTCGGGGCCCGACCCTCGGGGCCCGAACCTTGGAAACTGCCGGGGCCCTAGTAGGAGTAGTAGTGGTAGTAGTAGTAGTAGTAGTAGAAGTGGTAGTCGTAGTCGTAGTCGTAGTAGTAGTAGTCGTCGTCGTCGTCGTCGTAGTGGTAGTCGTAGTCGTAGTCGTAGTAGTGGTAGTAGTAGTAGTAGTAGAAGTAGAAGAAGTAGAAGAAGTAGAAGTATAGTAGAAGTAGAAGTAGAAGCAGAAGTAGTAGTAGTAGTAGTAGCAGTAGTGGTAGTGGCAGTGGTAGTGGTAGTGGTAGTGGTGGTAGTAGTACACCAGTGAAAACTAACGGTTTGGCAAAAAATGCTTTTTGGGCATATGTTATAGTTTAGTTTCCGAGCGGACACCGTTGAGACTAACCTAGACCAAATTCAGATGTGCCATGTTGGGCCCTACGGGTACTTGGCATGGTCCATGTTAGCCTCCACCGGGCTATGTTGACCTCTACCGGCGCGGCCTATGTTAGCCTGCGTTCAGTTTATAGTCAGAGTGCAGTTGGTCCATGTTAGTGTCAAAATCGATCATAGACTGAGAGTGGGAACGGTCCATGTTAGCCACACGCCTGACTCAGGTTTGTGGAAAGTTTGTGTCAGTGTGTACCAGGGACTGAGAGTGGAAGTGGTCTATGTTAGCCACATGCCTCACTCGATATCTGGAAAACTCAGTGTCAGATTGGACCGTGGACTGAGAGTAGCGAGAGTGGGAATGGTCCATGTTAACCGTTAACCTTTGGGAGGGCCCATATCTTCTCGCTTCCACGCTGCTCCACACTGTCCTGTTTTTCTTTGCCCCTCTTCTATGTTAGGGCTTGCTGGCTGCTGACGCTCGAAATCCCAGTATCCTGAATGTCCTAGGAATGCGCCGTTTCCAGTGTGCCATGTTGGCCTCCACCGTGCTAAAAGAGCTGTCTAGTTTTGCACCTGCAGTACCTCGGTTGAGACTAACGTAGACCATTTTCAGGAGGCCCCTACAGGTATGTGACACGGTCCATGTTAGCCTCCACCGGGCCATGTTGATCTCTACCGGCGTGGTCTATGTTAGCCTGCGTTCAGTTTATAGTCAGAGTGCAGTTGGTCCATGTTAGTGTCAAAATCGATCATAGACTGAGAGTGGGAACGGTCCATGTTAGTGAGGTTCCAGAAATTGCCAAAAAAGACGCTAATACCGTTTCCCCAGGAAGTCACCGTTTCCAGTGGTCCATGTTTAAAGCGCACTTGAAATTGAGTTACGGTCTATGTTGTTTTTCCCCGGAGTAGTAGTAGTAGTAGTAGTAGTTGTTGTTGTAGTAGTAGTTGTTGTAGTTGCAGTTGTGTGTTTGCGGTTGTGCGTTTGCCGTTGTGTGTTTGTGGTTGTGTGTCTGTGGTTGGCTGTGTGCTTGTGATTGTGTGTTTGTGGATGTGTTTGCAGTTGTGTTTGTGGCTGTTTGTTTGTGATTGTGTTTTGGTGCTGGTAGTGGTTGTGACTGTGTGTTTGTAGTTGTGGTTGTGGTTGTGGTTGTCTCTTTGTGATTGTGTGTTTGTGGATGTGTTTGTCGTTGTGTTTGTGGTTGTGTGTTTGTGTTTGTGGTTGCTTTTGTGGTTGTGTGTGTGGTTGTGGTTGTGTGCTGTGGTTGAGGCGTGGATGGTCGCGGTTGAGGTTCAGCACAGAACACTGGGCGTGGATGGTCGTGGTTGAGGTCCGGCAGGGAACACTGGGCGTGGATGGTTGTGGTTGAGGTCCGGCAGGGAATACTGGGCGTGGGTGGTCGTGGTTGAGGTGTGGCGGAGGAGGCGGAGGAGGAGGACGCGGAGGAGGAGGAGGAGAAGGAGATGGGGCTGACGTAAAATCTAACAACCCTCACCTGACAGGCGGGGAAATATAAAAAGAGCAGTTATAAACATGCAAGCAAGGCAAAAAAATGTAATGTTGAAAAAGCCGTACAAAAATGTAGATTATACCGGCGTAGACCCCAGATAGCATTTCAAGAAAAGTTAGACACCGTAGTTCGCAGTTGGAAAGTACGGATCGCTTGTGCAAAGCAGAAGGCTCCCAGCCAAAGCGAAATCATGAAGGGAGACAAGATTGGGAGACAAGGCGGCAGCGGTACAAGAGCGAAATCATGAAGGGAGATAAGCTCGGAAGACAAGCCGGCAGAGGCAGCCAAGAGCGAAATCATGAAGGGAGACAAGCTTGAGAGCAGTGGCAGCCAAAAGCGAAATCATGAAGAGACAAGCTTGGGAGACAAGGCGGCAGCGGAAGCCAAGGGCGAAAGCAGCGGCAGCCAATTTCCGCAATCATGAAGGGAGTGAAGGGAGACAAGCTTGGGAGACAAGGCAGCAGCGGCTGCCAAAAGCAAAATCATGAAGAAAGACAAGCTTGGAAGACAAGCCGGCAGAGGCAGCCAAGAGCGAAATC